TATGGCAGATACTTGGCGTAGTAGATCAGGTGATTTATTCTGTTGTCATATGATTTGCGGTTGACTCTTCTATTACAATATTAAAATTTACTATAAAAAGAGTTGATTGTTTTATCTTTTTATTAATAAATATTCTTTAAGCTTTAATTAATTCTTTTTATAGATTTTTCTGAATTTTAAAAAGATTTCAAAAATAAATCTTTAATTAAAATCAGTTGATACTTTAATGCTTACATACTCTTTTAGATTAAAGATAGAAAGAAAAATCATTAATTTCTTGAAAAATATAGGAGCGTTTCTAGTGAAATTACATTACAGATCATATGATTTACTATATCTTATGACTTGATTTTACTGGAAACATTTCATATGATAAACTAAATTTAATGTTGTATTTGCATCTTTTGCTACTTCTTCAGGAAATTCATCTTCTCTAATAATAAATTTTAATTGGTTATTTTGTCTCTCTTCTGTTTTATATAAGGTAGTTATAGGTATTATGGTAGATATAGATATTGTGATGGATTTTTTATAAAAAGCACTTTTGCATAAATATTGCATAAACTATTTTATTTTATTAGTCTGAAGTATAACTAAGAATTACGTAAAGTGATATAGTAAAATAAATATCCTAATATCTATTAACCATCTAATATATGCCAATATGATGCTACTTCAAATTTTCATTTCCCTAGTTATATAGATATATAGAAGTGATACTTATGCATTAGTAAAATAAACTAAATAATAATAACCACTATCATCAGGAATAATTCTCTTTATATCGCATATGTTTCACTAAGTTACTTTACTGCAATAAGTAAATTCCTTATCATCAGACTTTACAACCTTAGAGAATCTCATGTTCTACAGGTATTTGAAATGTCCTGGAATTACTTCACTTGACTTTACAAATTTAAAGGTTTAGGAAATTAGGAAAAAATGTACAGTTAAACCTTGATATAGCGAACCCTTGATATAGTGAATTTTTAAATCAAATATATTAAAATTACCTTTACTATAGTGAACTAGCCAATTAAATTCTTTAAAAAATTCGTTATAAGCTTATAACGAAGTTGATATCCAGATCCTAGAATTCGTTATATCAAGAGTTCACTGTAGAGAATTTATTTATTCTAAATGATAAACTCAATCATAAGTTAGTGTAGTAGTTCACAATCAAATCCTAGATGATGGATATGTAGAAGAGAAAAGTAATTGTTTTTCAAAGTTGATTCCTTTATTTATTACTTGGATTTGTAATAAAACTAAAACTTATAATATAGTTTAAAACTCGTAAATAAGTTAATTTATAACTTGAGCAAAAAGTTATTCTATTTATATAAAATTAATTTGCTACGGCTAACTAATTGTTATGCTATAAACTAACTAAATTTGTAATTACAAGTGCTAATATAATGATAATGATAATAATAACAGATATAATAACTATAATAATAATAATAAAAATAATTAAAATAATGGAAATAGGCATTATAACAATTATCCAGCTTATAAGGCTTATCAGATAAATCCTAAGAATCCTAAGAATCCTATGGATTCAGAATTATGCGTATCTTCTAATTTGTGATTGACATAAAATTAATTCCAATAACTTCTGTAGATAATTTGATAATTCTTTATAGATCAACTTTTCAATAGTGAATTTTAGCCGATAACACCACCAAACTTCAAAAATACTTAAAGATAAATTAAACTTAAAGATTATTTTTCTGAAAGCCTAATTAAGAGCTACTAAGCTAAAATCCAAATATCTAAAGGTGAAAAAATAATAACCTGTTTTTGCTATTTCATAATCACAAGATTTTGTATAATTTATAACAGAATCTCGTGATCTCATAAATTCATATATTAAATAAAAGAATTTAGTTGCGTAATTATATAAATTCGTAGATACTATATCTAAGAATAAAAAAATGTTAATAAAATCTAAAAATAATAAAATAATCCAAATATTTATCAAGATGTTATTAAAGCTGCACTTATAGCACTTGATAATTCTAAATATACTAATATATATGCAACTGCTCAAAAGTTTGGAATTGCAGAAATAACACTAAGATATGCAATAAAAAATAATGACTTGCTTAAACATTCTGGCCCTCTAATAGTTTTAAGTAAACATAATGAAATACAGCTAGTAGGATATTGTATAAATATATAAAGGTTAAGTTTTGGCCTTACAAGAGTGAGAGTAAATTACTGCGTGAAAATCATATGCAATGATAATCATAATCATCTATTTGTTAATAAAGAACCTGGTCAAGCTTGGTGGATACATTTTATGAAAGAATATTCAGAATTATATTTTGTGTATCTCAAGTCTTATCAGAAGCTCAAGCACAAAAAGTTAATTCAGCTATTATAAAAGATCACTTTGATAGACTTTACCATGTAATTCAAGAGTATTCGCTTACTGTGGAATGCATCTTGAAAATGGATGAAACTGGTTTTGTTCTTTCCACTAAAATGCAAAAAGGTTATTGTTAAAAAGGATGCATGTCATATTCATAAGGTCTCATATGATAATATGCATAATCATATTTCCTTAACTCCAATGATTTCAGCTGCTAACAATTATATTTCTTCATTAATAATTTATAAAGATGTTCATGTAATTCTGAGTTATTAAATGGAGCTCTAGCTGGTAGCTTTATAGGCTTTACTGATATTAGATGCATATGAGAAGATCTCTTTCAAATGTATTTTAAACATTTTATCAACTCCATTTCACTTATTTATCTAGTTCTCCTAATGCTTGATGGTCATACAAGTCGCATAAATTATATGAGTGTTAATTTTTGTAGTAAGAATAGAATCTACTCTATGCTCTTCCACCTCATACCACTCATATTCTCCAACCGTCTGAAATTTCTTTTGCTAGACTTAAAAGGAATATAATAAAGCTGTAACTTACTTCACAGTAGATGTGATGAATTAGTAACTAAACATTCATTTGCTAGAATAATTAGACAAGCATTTATTTTAATTTACTCACTAGAAGCAATTATTAATGCCTTCAAAACTACAAGAATCTGGTCTTTCAATCCTAATTCTATCAGTAATGATTGTCTTGATCCATCACTAACAACTGAAAGATTTGACATATCTTCACTTAAACAATTTTCTCAACTACCTGAACAAGTGTTTCTTATATCTGATGAATCTTCTACACAACTCCAACCAACTTATAAGTATTCTACCCAAGATAGCATTATCAAAAATATGGAATTGCTAAAGTATGAACTTGAGTCTCAAAAAAAAAATATTACATTAGAAAAAGAAAATACATCACTGAAACAAAATTATACAATAATAAAAAAAAAATTAAAAACCTTCAAAAATCCTGATACCTCTTCATTAAAACTCAAGCTCAAATATCCAAATTCTTAATCTAAAAAGCAAGTTAATAAACAATCAAATAAAAGAAAATCTTTGCCATTTGTATGACTTCTTACTAATAATGAATCTTAACAAGCAATAAAGAAGATAGAAAATATAGCAAATAAAAAGACTAAGGGTATGAAAAAGAAAAAGAAGAGGCTGTTCAAAAGTGAGCTTATCGTGAACTAGAGAAAGCATGAAAGCAAGAAATTAGTGCTCACAAAAAAGAGGATTGAGAGGAACGAATGCAAAGCTTTATTTAGTAATAATAATATAAGTATGATACAAAAATTTGTCAATTTTTAATATATATCATTTTCGCTATATTACACTTAATCATTAAAATCATAATTTTCTAGAAAGTATCATACAAATAATAAAATAATGAAAATCTTATATAAAATTAACTTTTTTTTGTTAATTTTAATATGGATTATATATATCTATTATATTGAATAAGTTTTGATATATTGATAAGTTTTTCACAAACTTTAATTAATAGTTATTCTTAATCCCGTCATAATACCTATAGCTACTTTATACTAAATAAATAAAATGAAAAAATATTTTTTAAAAATAGTTTTTACTTATTATGTGAATAAGATATTAATATATTTATAGATAATCATAACATATATGTGTAATAGATAAATCATTTTTACTTTTCTTTATATTATTATTATAATATTCATATTCTCAATCTACTACATCATAATGTTTTTTGTATTATATACTAATATTATTATATTTTTCTAAATCATTTTTTATTATATTAATTCTGCTTTAAAGTTTGTGCAAAGTTTACATAAATTGCTTGCAGGTTGTTAAAAATTTATATGTAAAGTTAATTTATGTTAGAGATCAATATAAGATATAATTTTCTCTATTTTATTATTATATTGATTTTTATATACTTTATAAACAGATCTATAGATTTTATCAATTAAAAAATAATGAATATATTAGAATTACTTTTATATCTTAATGGTGATGGTAATACATAATTATTACTAAAGATAATGCAGCAATTAATTAATATGTTACAATATAAGCTAAAATTAGTTGCAACATATATTGCAACATTAAAAGTTGTAATATATTAATTACAATTCTTATCTTTAATTATTACTATATTATATTAAAAATTGTTTTACTACAGAAGAAACATCAAAATCAATTAAAACTCTTGATAAAAATTTAGGAAAATATTATCATAAACTCAATCTTTAAGTCTATTTTCTTATAAATATTTTTGAATAGTTAAAAGATAATATTCTTTGATATTATTTAACTTTAAATAAACAGTTTTGTAAACAGGAAAAGATGTGTTAAAATTATATTTATAAGTTATTTTTGATTTATTTTATTTATTTATTTTTTTATTTATTAATTCAAAAAACAAAAGTTAGACTTTTAAAAATAATTTTAGCTCATTTTTTTTTAAACTACATATTTCAAGATATTAATAGATAAAAATATTTAAACTTATTTTTTTATAATATTTATATAAATCTTTTTGAATTTTTGAATGTTAGCAAGTATAATTATCTGGATTATTAAAAAAAACAAATTAAATTGTGAATTGTATTTAATATAAGTTTATTCTTCTCATAATATTCCAATATTAAATTTGCCAAGTCAAAAGTTGAAGTTGATGTCTTTTTTATTTTATTATTGAATATAAAAAAGCTTAAAAAATATAGAAAAAGTAAAAATTTCTAATAAATTAATGACAAAAATGGTAAAAGTAATGAAGAAAAAGGGGAATGTATTGTTTATAAACAAAAAATAATAAAAATAATATAAATCAATTTAAGTTGTAATATAAAAATAAGAGGAAAAAAATATTTGAAAATTTATTATTACAGCTAATTTCATAATTCGTGGACCACTAATAAATTGCGACTGAATGCGACTGAAAATATTTTATAATAAAATTACTATAAAATATTGCGACTGAATGCGACTGAAAAATTATTAATGGTCCATGAATTATGAAATTAGCTGTAAATATTTTATATTTTTAAATATTATAAAAAAAATATATTTTTAAAGTAAAAATTTAATCTTTTATTATTGTAAATTTAAAGCAAAAAAAATAATTATGTTAAAATGTATTAATCTGCATTATTTAAAATTTAATTATTTAATAATGCATTTATTAAACAATAGATTTTCCAAAATAAAACTTGATGTATTTATTAATCAATTAAATATTTAATACTTTCATGTATCAGAACAACTTTGTATAAATTAAAAAGACATTTTTAGATAATTTTTAATTATTTTTTAGAAGGTTGAAATCTTCTTATCAGCATTATAGGTAGTTACTATTTCAGATTAAATTATTATTTTCATATAATATTTTAAGATTTATTATATATGAAAATATGTAGAATTTGAATATATATATAAGAGCAGATTAATCTTTTTAGCTGTTTAAGATAATAGTTTATTAATGGAAAAATAAAAAAACAAATATTAGTAAATTTACTAATATTCTTATATAAAAAAATTTATTTACTTATCTTATCACATATTTGAAGTACCGAAGACATTTTACTAAAAAAAAGAATATTAATGTATTTCAATTAATGTTCTTATAAAAAATAAATCATCATTTACCCTTATTATATATTCAAAAACAAACTGAAGTATCAAAGGCATTTCTCTAAAAAAAAAAAAAGAATATTAATGTATTTTATTATGTTCTTATAAATAAAAAATAAATCATTTACCTACCTTACTATCTATTCAAGTTTAAGCTAAAAACTTTCTAAAAAAAAAAAAAATATTAGTAAATATTTTTAGTAATATACTTGTAAAAAATAATATTTCTTATTTCTACTTTACAATTTATTATTTCAAGAAATTTGATAAGTTTAAGAATCATATTTAAAATAAAAAAATTTTTTTTTTTGTTTTTAAAAATTAATCATTTATATTATAAATGATCCAAATGGCTGATTGGCTATCATATTAATTGGTTTAGAGAATCAGTTTTAAAATCAATTCTTTAAAATGAATTAGTTTCTCCTATCTGTTTTGATAAATTAAATAAGTAGTTCTGTGAAATTTTTTATAATAAATTCATAAATCAATACTATAATAAAAATAATATACAGATATTTGTACAGATTATTCTTTCATTTTCATATTTAATAAATAGTTCTATACTTCTATTATTAACATCATAAACTCTACTTTTACCACTTTCATTATTTTGAATAAAAACAATTTCTGAAAAATAAGAAATAGGATTATAATATATGATATCAAAAGAGTATTAAAGTAAAAATTTTATTTATATTTAATTAAATTTGTTTAAATATTTTATTGAAATATGAGAATATAAAATTAAAAAAAGGAAAAATAAAGATATTTTGAATTGGATTTTTATTTATCATTTATATTACATCATTATCTATTTTTGAATATTTTAAATTAATATATTAATTATTAACATTAGTTTAATATACTTTAGTTTTTTAAAAGTTCTAAAAATAAACTGAAAACTAAAAAAACTGAGTATTCAGAACTAATTAATTAAAAAATTGCATCATTTCTATTCATGGAGATGTTAAATGGTCCTAAACAGTCCTAAAAGTTCTAATAAATTTACCAGTTTTAAGAAGATTCTTATTTTACTAGCATTATATTTTAGTTTATAATGAAATTTGTTAATTAAATATAAATTAAAAATATATATTAAACTTATGCGGGAATCCAGAATCTTAATTTTTGAAACTTAGAATCCAATCCTAAGAACTGGGTCCCACCTTGGTAGTCCTATGTTTATTATCAATTCTAAAGTTCATATTTCTTTTATAAGTTATTCATAAAATTTATTATTACAATTATTTATCAAGGGTTACTTATTATAGATAAGTGATTAGACTTTTCTATAACTTGTAATTTCAATATCTATTTACAGTTATTTGGGACTGTTTAATATTCCTATCTATTCATAATAGATTAAGACCTCTTCACTCAAGGATAAATTACTTAATATTAACTATTGAAAGCTACCATAACATTTATCAAAAAATATGTTACATTTCTAAAATTATTATTATACTATTCATTGTTATTTTTAGTATCCAATATATTTGGTATTTCAGAATCAGATATAAAAAAAAGCCAAAATCTTTTGTCTAAGATAGGGATGTTAAATGGTTTTAAACAATCCTAAAAGTCCTAATAAATTTGCCAATTCTAGAAAAGATTTTTATTTTGCTGGTGGTGTATTTTACTTTTTAATGATAATGTACATTATTAATTGAATATTTATTAAAAATAAATATAAAACTTATGCAGTAATTTAGAATTTTAATTTTTAAAACTTAGAATCCAATCCTAAGAATTGGGTTCTACCACAGCGGTCTCATAAAAATTGTTAATTTCAAAGTTCATATTTCTTTTAAAAGTTATTCATAAAATTAATTATAACAATTTTTATCAAGAGTTACTTATTATAGATAAGCTATTAAACTTTTTTATAACTCATAATTTCTTAATTTGTTCACAATCATTTGGGACTGTTTAATATTACTAGTTTAAGATAAATAAGTTTTGATATCTAAGTTTAATTATTTTATAATTAATTAGAATAAAATTAGAATTATATTCTTAAATCTTTTACATTATATTTAATTAATAAATAAAATTTTCAGATTTAATTTGTCAGATTTTTAGAAAATTTAGATATCTACATTTTATATGGGTTAGCTTAACAATTGAAAATTCTATTTTTAAATTTACTTAAACAAAATTTCAAGATTTGATAACTCTTTGTTTTATTATCATAATATGATTTAATTTTTTAACTAATTTGAAGTTCTTGTATAATATATTAAAATAAATTAAAAATTTTATTTTTGATCAGAAAAGCAAAAACTTAATTTTCCTAATAATACTTTCATATAAAAATAATAGAATTATGAAATATTTTAACATCTAGTAATCCAATTTATATGAACTTTATTTTTGTTTTATAAATACTATTAAAT